ATTACAGACTGCCATGTCAGTTGTGTACGTCTTATGCCTTCTATGACTGAAACCAGTATCGATATTTTAGAACCACAAACGCGTTTTGTTTTCTTTACAAGAGCAGATATTTCATCGACAAGAATGCAGTGTCTGATCATAGTGCTTCCAAAGTATATGAATCTGTCTAGAACGTTCAGTTTGCGGCCATACACAAATAGTGATGGTTCGATGTAAGGTTAATCGGGAATAGTTTGCAACATGACCACTGTCTTATCCAGGCAGATAGTTAGGGCTTTGCAGGAACGGAAAAGAGTATCCACCAGAGCCTGTATTTCCTATTCTGTTTGGGTGACTAAGCCACTGTCATTGGGGTACAGAAGGTAAAGTAAATATATAGATGGATAAATATAAGAAGATTTAGTTGAGATAGATAGACACATAGATTTTATAATGTATACAACGGTGAGATCTTGCCTTAAAGTGGCAACCAGTCTAAAACTCTGAATTCAAAACCAACCCGAAGAAGGATAGCTACCTTGCCCTAGATACACGACTACTGATATAGCAGAAATAGATTTGGCGCCCCTACGACCTTCGGGGGTTACGGTATTCGTGACGTCACGCGACTAGCACACATTTAACGTCAAGTTTGCATATGAGACCCGGATGCATCTTTTTCAACTATCTTGGGAGAAAAGAGTGGTATCATCAAGTACGATAAGTTTATGAAATTTGATGATAAACCATTTTATAATAAATAAATCATTTTCCTGTATAAACTACTTCTTTAAGATATCTTAATGCTTTTTGTCTCTTGATGTTAATATTAATTATATGTTTTATGTAACGATGACATTTTATAAGAAATTTGTTGTCATCTATTTCTATGGTAAATTACAGATTCTTTCCCCTAAAATATACATCACTACGAACCTTGTCCTTGTCGTCCTCAAAGATCGGGTGGAGATTCAATGTTGATCCCAATTTTTCTGTTGTAGAGATTTCTTGTACCATCAAAATTATATTTGAACTCTGCAGATTAATGACAGTATTTCCAGAAATGGAGACATTTGCTGAGTAATTCTCTAAGAGCCTCTTAAGCCTGAAAACAAAAAACAGAAGATAAAAATTCATTATATGATTTAATAAAATTAATACGTAGGGCTTTGCACTAAATAAGGAAGGAAGACATTCTGATGTAAACAAAGAATAATTCATTTCTAAGCTCATTTTTGAAGATATTAATTTAGCAATCAATGCTTTTACTAGAATAACACCCGGTTTGATATGATTTGTATCAGGAACTAGAAAAAATTATGATAAACAACAAAAACATCAAAAAGTATTTTAACTGACGCATATTATAAAACGTTTTTTTTTTTAAATTGAATGTCTCTGTTTGTTTAAATAAAAAAAGATAATTTTGAAGAATAATTCGATTATAAAATTAAAAAAAATATTAATTAAAATATAAGTGCTGTCAATTGTAATAAAAATAAACCATTTCTGTGACTGTAGTTTTCTGTATGGCGCTAATTTAATAGGTTTATTTCCAGCGGGTTTTTGTCAATAGATAATTCAGAAAAAATTAAAGCTTCTCAATTCATAGATTCATGCCTTCTTCAAATGCATTAGTGCAAAAATAAAAACAAACTACCTCGGCTCGAGTTTGAAATCGGTTCTCTAACTTCATTCTCTGTGCTTTTAAGCGTTAGGTCATCCAAACCTTTTTTTAGGCTAAATGTAAAATTTTTCAGCATTTTTTTAATGAATCTTTTATTCATACAAATTTATAGGAGTGTTATTATTCATCCACCAAAGTATTCCCAGTGATTTTCTATGGTCGTTCGGATAAATTGTGTATTCTAGCATAAAAGAACGATTCCGATTTTGATTCGACGAATTCTTCGATTAACTTTTCGATATTTACATTATTTACATATTTCGGACTGTTGTTTTCATCTTTATTGTAATATTCACAACATTTTGGCCCAATGGATAAAAGGGTTGGTTGAAGAAATCCAGTGACTTGACCTTGTTAAGTAAGTTGTGAGTTCAATACCTGGCAAGAGCAGAGGGGAAGAAAAACTTGGAGAGTTGAGTTACTAAAGGAAAATAACTGAAATTAAGATATCCAGAAAAGGCATGGCATGTGGAACTAGAGCGATCTATCCCAGTGGACGTAATAAAGGGTTCGGTTTGAAATTCCAACATGTATCACCTGAAGAAGGCCGGAGCATACAACGGCCAAAATATTGTGAATATGACAATAAGGATGAGGACAACAGTCTGAACAATGTAAATAGTTACAATAACTCATTTCAGAAATATAGACAGATGCTTAATTTTTCAATAATACTGATTTGAATATACGCTCTTTTAGCGCTAGAGGGCGTCGTCAGTGATGTTCTGAATTATGAGTTATTAAATTAGATTCTTTAAAATTCTAGTAAAAAATTCCCCAAGATGATGAAAATGATAACAGTAAGTCTTAAAACAAATTTTTATTGCTCTGTGATGCACTGAAAAAAATCACTTATGACATGAGTTATTGTAACTATTTACACTATTTATATATTTCGGACTGTTTTTCTTATCTTTATTGTCATATTCACGACGTTTTGACCATTGTACGCTTCGGCCTTGTTCAGGTGAGATACGTTGGAATTTTAACCGAACCCTTTATTCATTCCGGGGGGGGGGTAGATTGTTATAATTCCACGTGACATGCCTCTTCCGGATGTCTCAGTTATTTCTCTTTAAATCAACTCTCTAAGTTTTTTGGTTCCGGTGGACGAAATAAAAGGTTCGATCGAAATTCCAATAACCCGAAGAAGGCTAGAGCTTACAACAGCCGAAACGTTGTGAATATGGCAATGAAGATGAGGATAACAGTCCGAATAATGTAAATAATCATAATACCTGATCTCAGAGATATAGACAAAAACACTTACCTTTCACTTGTATTATTCATTTTATTACTTGTCGACATTACAGTAGTGTTTGCTTCCAACATATTGCTAATTACTTGAACCATGTTATCAGCGATCTGTAAATGAGAAGGAAAAACACTAGAGTAACATATAAACACACCGCCATAATCTACATTATTAGCATCTTCATAGTTTATAGATATTTTTTAAAAATATTCCCTGGGTTTTGTGTTTGAAGTCAAACTACCTACTCTTGTTTTCTCTTGTATTATTATTATTATTATTATTATTTTCTTTGATTTCTGGCGTTTACACATTTCTTTCCGGGTCCCGCCCAGGGGCCTAAGGTTAGAAATGGCGTCATGACACTTTCCACTGACAAAAAAAAAAAAGAAAAAAAAAAGATTACATAGATAAAGCCCTTCGTAAGGTGTGGGCTGTACTTGTTAGAACAATTTTCTGTATCTCCTTGAGGCATGGACTTCCAGGTATCCCTTCAATTAGTCTACTGCAATCTTTTCCAACCAGTCCTAGGGCTCCAACTACAACAGGGATTGTTGATGTTCCCATATGCCACATTTTCGCGATTTCTATTTCAAGGTCCTTGTACTTTGACAACTTTTGAATATCTTCAAAGATACATTGCAGTCGGCAGGACTGCCATATCAATAAGGAGGCACCGTTTTTGTTTGTGGTCTTTAATAACAATATCTGGGCGGTTGGCCTTGATTGTTCTGTCAGTGTGTATTGTGTAGTCCCATAGAATTGTAACAGGTCCTATCTCCGTAACCGGGTCTGGGTGGTGTTCATACCAGTTTCTTTCAGTTTTCTTCCCGTAGAAGTTGCAGATTTTCCAGTGCAGATATTGGCCCACTCTGTCATGTCGGGTTTTATATTCAGTGGGTGCCAACACCGTACAACCTGCTATTATTATTATTATTATTATTATTCCTTTGGTTTCTGCTGTGTATCCATTTCTTTCCGGGTCCCGACTAGAGACCTAAGGTCAGAAATGGCATCATGACATTTTCCATGGAGCAACTTTGAAACAAAACCCACACATATTTTACATAGATAAAGCCCTTCTTAAGGTATGGGCTGTACTTGTGAGAACAACTCTTGTATTTCTTTAAAGCATGGGCTACTAGTAATGCCTTCAATGAGTCTATTGGAATCTTTTCCACTTAATCCGAGGGCTCCAACTACAACTGAAATTGTTGATGTTCTCATGTGTCACATTTCGAGATTTCGATTTCAAGGTCCTTGAATTTTTAAAGATACATTACAGTCTGCAGGATTGCTATGTCAATAAGAACGTACATTTTATTTTTGCGGTCCTTAATAAAGATGTCTGGACGATTAGCTTTGCTTATTGTGTCTGTGCGTATTGTGAAGTCCCATAAAATTGTTACAGGTCCTATCTCCACAACCGGATCTGGTGGTGTTCATACCAATTTCTTGCAGTTTACTTTCTGTAAAAATTGCAGATTTTCTAGTTCAGATATTGGCCCACTCTGTCATGTCGGGTTTTATATTCAGCAGGTGCCAATACGGCGCCATCAGATAGAAGATGGTCAATTGTTTCTGGATATTTATCACAGAATCTGCATTTTGGACTAACACAATAGTTTAGTACGTGTGCTTGATAATTTCTAGTTAACAATCATTGGTCCTGTGCAGCAAGAATAAAACTTTCAGTTTCAGCCTTCAACCCTGTACTACGTAGTCACTGATGGGTACGGGGTTTGTCTACATCAGCTTCTTCGGTATGGGCAGAATATTGGCCGTGAAGCGAGTTATTTTGCCATCGTTTTTATATCTGGTCGGTTGCATTTGCATTTGCTTTTTTGTTTTTAAAGTATTTTGCAGCCTCAGTCGGTTTGTTATGCTTTACTTGTATTTCTTCATCCATTTGAAACTCCATTTTGAATTTGCTGGCTTCCTTTATCACTGAATAAAGTCTCTTATTTTTTGACATATATCATCATTCAGTCTTTTATAGTTTCCAGGTATTTTTGAAGGCCAATTGTTGTAGTTTTGTAAGACAGTTCTGGTTGAACTAATCCTCTGCCTCTTTCGGATCTGGGCACATACAGACAATCGACATCAGCTTTAGGATTATGCATGCAGTGGCATGTGAAAAACTTTCTCGTTTAGGCGTCCATTCGCTAATGTCAGCTACGGTCCAGTTGAGGATTTTGAAACTGTATTGCCCCACAGGGACAGCCAAGGTTTTTATGGTTGATATTCTGTTTTATGAATTCAGCTCTGTATTCAGTACCCGACGCACACGCCTCTAGTACTCCTTTCTTACCTTCTTAATTCGTGTATGCTGTATTCCATCTCCTTCGCTAATTCCTAGGTACCTATAGGCTTCTTCTTGTTCCGGTTCCTTAAACTTTGTGATAAAATCTAACCCTATTGAGTGTGTTTCTATAATTCTTCTTGAATGTTAGTTTTGCACATTTACCTAATCCAAAATCCATACCTATTTCGTCACTGAAGCATTTTACAATATTGAGGAGGCCCTTCAACTCATTGTCGTGTTTGTCAAAGAGTAAGATTAGGTGATTGAATACTTTCTTGTTTAGTTTGTATCCATAGCTATTATTGTTTAGCTCATGCGTAAGGGCGGGGTTAAGGACAGGCAAAACAGAAGGGATGGCAGGGAATCTCCTTGAATGATTCCTCGTCGGATATTCAGGTGGTTGGAGATGGTAGTGCCTCTTGTGTGATTTAGGTATAGTGTGGTTTTCCACATTCCTATGCTGTGTTTAAGGAAATTTACTATTACAGGAGAGGCATTGTACGTTTCTAAAGTCTTAAGGATCAAGAATGTGGTACACTATCAAAGGCTTTATGGCTATCCATGCTGCGCTAAGATTTCTACATCGTTTCCTGCACTTTTCCAGCATCATTTTGTTTATCAGTAGTTGATCTTTGCAATCTGTTCCAGTGGAAGAATATTGAAAGAAAGAGAAAAGAATAAGTGTACACGTTTCGTCAAAAATGACGGCTCTTATTAGAAAGGTTTAATAGTGAGATGCAATGATAGAAGTCTTGAAACAATGTATTGAGAATCAATAAAACAAAGATAAAGAATTCACAACTAAAATAGAAGCCAATGAACTGTTTAATTAATCAGTCGTCTTTATATCTTTTAGACGTTCAATAGTATCTAGGATTCACTGATTACTTCTGGTATTATCTTGATCGCTTTTGGCTTAATATCTTTTCATGTCAAAAATTGTATGTGTTTAATATAACAGTAAAATGGAAAAATATCTCGGAAGAAAAAATGGCAATAAAGCGAAAAAGACGGTGACGACAACGCTTATTTCAAGACCAAGTTGATACAATACGATCACTTAACAGACAAAAGGTATCTGAGTGCGTCACGTGAAAGGCTATAACAAATAAAACTACAATCTAAGAAATGTTGGATTAAAGGAATTGATTAATTAAACAGGATATTTTACTCGGGAACTGTTAATTGCTTTGGTCAGTCAGTTATGTTCCATGCGTGATACACGCGTAGGCGATCATGTATCTTTCGATACGTGACTGACGAGGCAGATTTTTTTCCAGCAGTAGACTGCCATTTCTTTCTGCGGTAGACCAGTTGCCATCCAAGGCTACAGAACCCAGTCTATCCTTCTATTTACCTATAGCTGGGAGCAGAAGAAGAGGATTCATACCTTTCTCAAGGGTATCATCACGTAAGTGAATGTAATGAATTCAACTGGAATTCGAACTTGGCTCTCCGATTCCTTAATCCGAGCCGCTATCCATTAATTTGTAGCTCTTAATAAATTGTGTCTTTTTGTTAATTCTCGTAAATCCTGTTCCGCCATCCATTTACTCAAGCTAGATAAGTATGCTGCGTTGTTTTCCTGTCTCTATTGCCTTCAATCTGTCTTGTGAGTATCAGATTTTCCAAGCCCTCCTTCCTCATTATGTACCCCAGAAATTTCAACTATCTCTGCTTAATGTTATGTATAAGTTTCCTTTTTATTTCTATTTTCTTTAAAACCTCGGTCCATGGTGTCTTTCTGTAGAACCACATTTCTGTCGCTTTAAGTCACTTCATCTTTGAGGAAATTGGTCAGCATTCACTGTCATATAGGAGGACAGATATCATGTAACAGTTCAGTACTCTTCTCGTTGCAACGAAGTTTTCCTGTCTCTTAATAATCTGTTTAGATTTTGGAAGGCAACTTTAGTTATCCGAATAAGCCTTCAGATTTCAGTATCATACATTCAGCCCTCTGTTAAAACACTTCCCACATAGTTTAATTTTGGTTCTCGTTTGATTTTGGTAACTCCAATTTGTAATTTGCATTTTGGCCTCATCCTTTTTGCTAACAACCCTGTATTCTATTTTCTTGCAATTGATGTTTAGTCCTTTCTTCTCGCTTTCCTTCATTGCCTTCCGTAGGAGCTTTTGTAGTTTCTTAGTGACTTTTGTAGTTCCCATGTGACTTTGCTCCTCACTTAGTTCTCAATACTTGATAGACTAAACTTAGTAAAATATCAGCATATAAAATTAAGAGCAGGTAAAACAAATTCAAAGTCAGAGAAATAAACGCAGGGAAGCATAGAAAGCGCTAACGCGGGACTCTCTCATCGATTATATATCATTGGTAAATTACGTATTTTACAAATCTAGAGCTGAACACTAAGTAGAATATGTTTCGTTTTCTCCTGGATTTTAATTATTCCCCACCTCATTTAAAGCAAATATTTTCAAAAGATCACCCGTTTGATATCGACCAGGCAGTTCGTTGCTTAATTTGGGTGTCAACATCAGAATGCCGTCCTGGGTATGACGGCAAACTACATCCGCGTCCTGGGTAAGACGATAAACTATATCCAACAGCAAGGCCTCTGATCAAGAGGTTTTGAGAAGCGTAGAACCACCTCTTAATTGCTGATGTTCCCAGGTCCACCTTGACTCGGGGTTGTAGCACCTGTTAGGGTTCCAGCTATGGGCAAATAGTTGACACCCAAACTTGGGTCAAAACACTATGAAAGTTTAAAAATAATACATACCAGAAATACTTTGTAAAAAAAAAAAAAAATTATTACCAGCAATACATTTTTAGAAAAAAAGATATTACCAACTATAGTTTATTTTGAAAGAAAATATTGCCAGCAATAAAAAAAAATGTCGGCCTCAAATAACCCATTGAGGTTGATATACCGTAAACCAAACCAAACCAAACCAAAACATCAGAATGTTTGTAATTCACCAACTCGAAATAAATGACATCCGGATCAACCTACCCCCAACACCTTTACACGTCTTCTGTTTGTTTTTCTTTTCATTTTTCTGTTGTCGACTCGATGTAATCAACAAACACAGGCACACCTTTCATTTTTAGCACTTAAAAATAAATGACTACACGGCATGTTTGACCAGCGAGAATGACGATATTTAAAAACATCTTGCAATCAATGATAGTCAAATCTATCACCACACAAAAATGGCATGAGAGAGAGAGAGAGAGGGTTTTTCATTGGCTCTTTTAAGTGATTTTTTCATCACAAACAGTAATTTTAATTCCTATATTCTATATACAAGTATTGCCTTATCCGGGGATGATCGGGTTCAAGACTTCCAGTAAATGCTGAAAATCGAGACGAGTATCAAACGCTATATATGTATTATATATATTATTTTTCCCTATATCTTTGATAGTTTAATTTAGAAATTAGGCACAGTAAGCGATTAAGTGTTCATGAGTAAAATGAACAGTTTAATTAATCAGTTCCTTCAATGAAACGTTTCTTAGATTGCAGTCTTATTTGTTCAAGCCTTTCATGTGAGGCACTCAGATACCTTTGTCTAATAAGTGATGGTATTGCATCAACTTGATCATAGGCTTTGTTGTCGGCGTCTTTCTCGCTATCCTCTTTGTGGTTTTGTTGCTAATTTTTTCTTCCGAGAGATATTCCCATTTCACTGTTATATTAAAACTTACAATTTTTAACATGAAAATCTATTGAGCAAAAATCGATTTATATAATACCAGGAGTAATCAATCAATCAGAGATATCATTGAACATCTAAAGAATATAAAGGGAACGGATTAGTGAAATGGTTCATTGGCTTCTATTTTAGTTGCGAATTCTTTATTTCGGCTTTATTGATTTTAAATATATTGTTTCAAGACTTTTGTTTCATTGCATCTCACTATTAAAACTTTTAAACAGTTGCCGTCGTTTTTGACAAAACATGCACACTAATAATAATAATAATAATAATACACGAGAAAACAAGAATAGGTACTTAAACTTCACACGCAAAACCTAAGGAATATTTTTGCAAAAATGGTGGTCCTTATATGGATATATAGCCTTATAATAGGATAAGTGATCTTGGATTCTGAAAGTAGGTTTAATAGGTTTTTTTTGCTTCTGTCTGGAGAGGCTAGCTATGGACAGAACGTAGGGTGAACTGGATTCATGCCTCCAAGAGTATTAGTGCGAATAGACATGAATAGTTTAGGCCGAAATTCGATCTTAGTTCTTCGATTTTTTTTTCTCTGCTTGTAATTTCCCTTACCCATTTAAGCAGATAGAAATACCATGTTAAAACATTGAATTACAGATTTGACAGTAGAGCGCTTACCTCTCTCTTCTTCAAGGAGTAGGAGAAAATTTCTTCAAGTTTTTCCGTCACATTGGCTACTTGTTCAGCTGTAAGCGTCTGTGGGTGCTCTGTCAGTGACCGGAGGTTTTTCATAGCCTTCGACGCCTCCTCATCACCAATCTAATAGGATTAAAAGAAAGAAAAAAAATGAACGAAATCCTGAACGACATTTATTGCAACGACATTAACGTTTTACCTTGTCTTGTTGATGTATGACATTTCAAGAAATGGGCGAAATTTTTATGAGAGAACCGAAATAAAAATTAGCAGGACAGAAAGTGGAAATCAATTGAGAATAACAAAGGTGGGGGTGAGTCATTGATATAGTGTAGTGAGTTCGATCCTGTAGTTTTCTGTCAAAAGTAAATTTAGTAATTATTTACATTGTTCGGACTGTTGCCCTCATCTTTGTTGCCATATTCACGACTTTTCGGCCGTTATACGATCCGAGATTCTTCAGATGATTGGAATTACGAACTGAATCCTTTATTTCGTCCACAACGGTAGATTGTTCTAGTTCCACGTGTCTTGCCTCTTCCTGATATCTCAGTATCAGCTCCCTTTTAATTCAACTCTCCAAAGTTTTTTTTTGTTCACTTCTGCTGTAGCCAGAAACTCTTTAGGTCAGTGTCACTGGATTCAACTAACGCTTTTATCCACTAGCCCACGTGTCCTTGAGGAGCGTACAACGGCAGAAAGGTTGTGGATATGGTAATGAAGATGAGGACAACAGACTGAACATTGTACATTAGTGTGCAAATTAATTGAAACAAAACGAATAATTCCGTTATTATTTACTTTTTTTTGTATTTTTCCAATGAAAAATGACCCAGTGCACATGTCAATACTTCGTATGTCCATTCCACGAAGTCGTTCCTTGCAAATTGCCCACAGATTCTCGATTGGATTTAAATCAGGAGAATTTCTGGGCCAATCTATATTACTTTGGTTTGCTCACTGGTAAGGCTTGCCAGTGTGTTCGTGCAGCGTTATAATTTTCGTACATTTCCTTGGAGTAACGTCCATCGCAGACAATGGGCGTAGGACAACTAATCGTCAGTCTAGACAATAGTGTCTGGGCGTGATAAAAATCTGATGCAATCACGGATGACGCAATATTTTTCAAGGCCAAACAAAATAGATTCATATTACTGCACACTACTGCAAATGACCTAATCTGAGAAAAAATAGAAATTGATTACACCCTGTCACTCCAGTGGGTCTAAAACTGGCCGTATGGTGAAAGAAAGGAAACTAAAGCCGTTATTTAAATTAATTTGCACAAGGATGTAAATAGATTTAGTAAATAACGACGCGTTTACTCATCGTAGTGTAACGGTCATTAAACTAGACTTGTAGCTGATTAATAGTGTTCGATTCTCACTACATGACCAAGTGGCGTAGCAAGGGATCTCAGTGTGTGTGCGTGTGTGTGGGGGGTATAATTTTGACGCCTTCACAGCCTGAAACGTTTAGGCTACATCGTGGCGCCATTAATAAGTCAATGACGTCAATAATAAAATCTGTCTAATTAACGTCGTCGGCTTACATACAAAATAGTGTAATGGAGTGTGTTATACTTTGCAAACGGAAGCGGAAAGCCCTGGGCAAAACATTAACTTGCATTTAAGTAATAGGCCAGACGAAAAGCTGCACTCCTTTACACCCATGGCCGAAGGTGACTGACTTCAACTTGCTATGAAGCTACTGTATGATGAATATTTGTAGCCTTGTGCCAAACTAAACAGTAAAAGACGCCTTTGCGCGTGTTAATGATTAACGAGCTAATCTCGGTGATCATTGATAAGAAATAGTAAGTACGATTCTCAGAGTGTTCAATATTTGCAGACTTGTGTTAAACTAAACTAAGCTTAATAATAATAATACATACATACATACATACATACATATATCAATGCAATCGAGATGAATGAGTCATTATGAACTCTACCATCTTGTTGATGATTGTATATGTTGTAAGATGCCAGGACTAAATACTGTTTTGAATAGGGTTGTCCTTCTACATTAGTTGCCAATCACGGCTAGTCAGCTTAGTCTATTTTACTATTTAATTTAAGCTGAGTGGGAGGGAACAGATGGATTTATATAATATATATAATAATAATGGCTAGGAATATTTGGTTAGAAACAAATAGATGAATCCACCTAGTATATGGCAATGCATGCTGGATAATTTTGTCACAGATGAAGAGATTTGAGACAAAAAATATGTGTTTCTACAAAAGAGTGCTGAAAATAAGATGGCCGGGGTGTGTAAGCAAGGAGAAAATTTTTTAAAAAGTGAAAACAGAAGGTAAACTTATATTTAGAATCAGAAAGACAAGGTAGAATATTTTGGAAGGCAAGAACGATTGAGGGAAACCTACCTAACAAGTTTGTGTAAATGGATTTCATCTCACGGAGTGGGATGGACAGTAAAAAAAAATCAAACAGACAAACATTCCTAAGAGCTATAGACAACAGAAAGTTGTGGAGAACTATGATCACCCATGTCTTGAAAAGACACAAGAAGAAGAAGAAGAAGAAGAAGAAGAAGAAGAAGAAGAAAGCAAAGTAGAAGACGACGAATAATAATAATAAGAAGAACGCAAAGTAGAAGACGACGAATAAGAAGGAGAAAAAGAAGACGACGAATAAGAAGAAGAAGGAGGAGGAGGAGGAAGCAAAGTAGAAGACAACGACGACGATGAAGTGAAGAAGAAGAAGAAGAAGAAGAAGAAGAAGAAGAAGAAGAAGAAGAAGAAAGCAAAGTAGAAAACGACGACGACGAATAATAATAATAAGAAAGCAAAGTAGAAGACGACGGCAAAGAAGAAGAGGAAAGCAAAGTAGAAGACGACGAATAAGAAGGAGAAAAAGAAGACGACGACGACGAATAAGAAGAAGAAGAAGAAGAAGAAGGAGGAGGAGGAGGAGGAGGAGGAGGAGGAGGAAGCAAAGTAGAAGACGACGACGACGATGAAAAGAAGAAGAAGAAGAAACGGATTTTTCGCACATACACGTTTTTAAAGTAATTGTAGCTTTTAAGCAAGGAGGGGTGGATAATGACTTGCATTTTTCTCTCAAATGACACTGACAGTCCAATGAAAGGTTGAGAACATAGAAACAAAAAACAATATGGCGTGAAAAGAGTCGATGGAAAATGTCGGATAGTTTCCTGGTTAATTTTTAAAAAACTTTCATTTACTCTTTCTGACCTTTTTCTAATTCTGAAAATGCTTAAACGGGGGCACATTTGTTCTTTTGTTTGCTTGACTGACCTTATTCAACGATTAAAATTTTCTTCCCGCAGTGACGAGGCCTTTACCTCCTTTTCTAGAATAATGAGAATAGCGAATCTGATTTCAAGTTTTTAACTGTCACTCGCCTCTGTATCCATTTATCCCTTTGCATTTTGGGAATACTCACGGTTACATTTGAGTTCCATGAAGAACATGATTTTGAATTAATGTTTGCATGTGCCTGACTAGAGAAAGATAAAGAAATCATTCACTCATATTTGCAATTTGTGGTAGAATAATAATAAAAAAAATCACTTTCGATTTAGTAATATCGTCGGACAATTTTCTACACGTCGCCTCGGCGAGTCACGGCAAATAAACTTAGTGAAAACACAGCGTTACTTCTTGTCATTAAACAAACAAAAACCTGAATACTAAGTAAATAGGACCATTTACCTGTACGGCCCCAGCGAGAGAAGAAAAGAATTAACTTTAAGAAAGTCTTCTTCTTTTATGTGACATGTCTCTTTAGGACGTGAGGGTTCAAAACTCTTCATAAATTCTGACACAATAAGGCAGAATTAGTAAGGCTGATCAGTCCGATAATGTCAAAATGGCAGCCGAAAAAACCTCAAAAACTGGGGCAAAAGATGGCTTGTCAATTTTAACGCCTCCAAAACTAAACTTCTGTCCATTAATTATCTGAGAGAAGCTATGTCTGCCTTCTATCAACATGTTAACCTCTAGGAAAGTGACTTGTTGCGCCTTCTCGGGTTAACGTTCTCAGCTTATATGAAGTGGAAAGACTATCCATTGCTAGGCCGGCTGCTAAGAAAAGTGTTTCACTGTGTAGTGCGAGACAATTTGTCTCAATCTATCTTACATATTTATAAGTCCATGCTTAGAATATTGCTACCATATATGGACCGGTGCTCCTGCTATTCACCTTAAGCTCCTTGATAAACTCCAAAGAATAATCGACAATATTATTTGTCCTGATCCAGTGGCTCGGCTTCAGGCAATTTCCCACCATCGTGAGGCTGCATCTCTGTGTCTTTTCTATAAATATTTTCATGCTAATTGTTCGGATAAACTTTTCTCTATGGTACCTAGATTTTATGAATTTAAACGAAGTACTAGATTGGCGTCAAATCTCATCAATTTACAGTTGGGCTGGCTAGATGTAGCCGTAAATTCTATGTTAACAGTTTCTTTTCTCACACTTCTTACATGTGGAACTCCCTTCCAGTTCCATGCTTTCCAGCCAACTTTATTCTGTAAAAATTTAAATGCAATGTCAATCGCTATCTATTGTCCTCTTGATTACTCTTTCCTCTTTCCGTTCATTATTAATGTTTCTTTTCCTAATTCTTTCACATCCTGTAACCCCTTGCGCCTTAGTGGCTTTATTGCCTTAAAAATTCATATTCTTTATACAGGGCGGGAGGAAAGAAACTCCCTATTGAAAATTACTTAAAAATTTTGTTAATACCGCCACATTTGCATGAAAAAATATATAGTTATCCTTAAAGTGGTAGAATTTCATTGCTAATTTTTGCTTTTATTTTAGAATGACAAATGTAGCCGAGAATGACACAACGCCTGACATTGTATGAGCGTGCTCAGCTAACATCCCCAGTTACAAAAGGTGGCAGTCCAGGGTACAAGTGCAGAGATAGTGGCACAGTGTCCCTGGACCTCGTGCTTCAGTAGATGCATAAAAACCATCAGAAATTATCATTCCAAGCTTATGAGTACGGAATCAGTGATAGATACCCAGAGAACGGTTTTCCTTCAACATCCACAGTGGAAGAAAAATGGGCAAAAGGTACCAGAAATGAAGTCAGTCGAGGATATACCCAGATGATTACAACACTGGTGCCTATATAAAATTTTCACAGTGTACTGCACTTCTATGATTTTAATGATCAAAAGAAAACAGATTTTATGAAAATCGATCAATAATTAAGTTATTAACAATTTTAAATAGCGAGTTTCTTTCCGGTCACTCTGTAGATCTAAATAATGTTTAGCTCCTCATTATCCCTCTCTTTCCCTGTTTTGTTGTTGTTGTTGTTGTTGTTTGTTCTTCTTCTTCTTCTTCTTCTTCTTCTTCTTCTTCGTCGTCGTCGTCTTCTACTTTGCAGATGATATTTAAAGCAAAAATTACCACCAAATTAGCTGCTCCCAATGTTGTAGTTACTGTATAATTCCAATTTTGTCAGTCCATTTATCAGTCATTTATATATATATATATATCCTTGTCAATGTCCATCCACATTAGTCTATGTTCACCAATGTCCATCAATTTTCTTCACTCTCTCCTCGTCAATGTCTCTTTATTTTCTTCTATCTCTCCATATTTGTATTTTAATTCTCCCCTGTTTCTTCTTGTAAATGTCTGTCTATTGTTATCTATCATCGCTAATGTCTTTTCATTCTCTTCTTTTTCTTCTCGTTCATGTCTTCTGTCTTCACGTCAGTCTATTCATTCTCATCTGACAGCCATCACTAATGTCCGTCAATTCACTTGTCTCTCCTTGCCACTATATGTCCATTGTCACCTGTTTGTCCTTGACAATGTCTGTTCATACTGTTCTGTCTTCTCGCCAAATATCTGCTCATCCTCATTTGTCCACAATCATCAATGTCTGTCCATTCGTTTGTCTCTTCTTGCCACTCTATGTCCATTGTCACTTCTTGTTGGTGTATGCCCATTCCCATCTGAGCTAACAATAATTCTATTTGATAGTAATGACAAATACAGTATATCAGACTTGATAAGCTTCTTTTTCACACAAATACGTCCTGCCTCGTTCGAAAATCAACTTTCCAAATATTACTCCTAACTTGGAAGCAAACACCCACCTGCAGGACCAGTGCTAAATATGCAACTTCCGTCCTACAAAGAATGATCTATATTCACGTCTATCTCTATGTAATTGTGTAGATATAAAGCCTGTTCCAAGGAAAAGGCTTTTATGTTACTCCTAAGAATTCACAAACCACACCCTTGTTTTGATTTCATCTAGCAGTATTTTTTCCTTCGCCAAACACATTCTATCACTGATGATTCATATTCTGGAAGTAAATTATCGACAACGCCTTTCTCCGTTGATATCCTTCCAATAATTGGATTAAATGGAATTCTTATCCAGATTATTTGATGTGCCGAAAATGTTTCACGGTATTTTAGATGTTCACATGACTTCATTTTTTATACTAAGGTCCATCCAATCGAAGGTTCGAGTACCGTTCAAAGTAGAGAGTTACTGCTAAAATTGTTATGATGATTATGATGAACGAAATGTGTGATATGAACGGAGGGAGATTATAAGGATAAGGAACATAGACTGTTGGCTTGAAATGTTTTAGATTGTAACGTTCAGATAACCATCCAGGCGGGAGTTCGTTTCACAAATAGAAGTTCTTGGTAAACACTAGGGTGAAAAGTACGGAAATTAAAGAGGGCTAATGCAGCAACCAAAATGCAATATGGCAGACTCTCCTGAATGACGTGAAATGGAAGAAGAAGAAGAAGAAGAGTGTTAGAAGCAGATACAATGAATGAATTCAAAATGGAAATTCAAAGTGTGACACGTTAAAGGAAGAATTAGTAACATCAGCAGACGAGATCAACCCAAAGAAAAAAAGGAATGGATGACAAATTAAATTCACGATATGATGAATACTGTCGCCATATCTGGTCTGGTGCTCCTGATACTCATCTCGAGGTTCTTGACAAAATCCAAAGAAGAATCTGCAATGTAATTAATCCTGACCTGGCATCTCGACTTCAGTCCTTTTCTCACCGACGTGATGTGGCTTCCCTCTGTCTTTTCTACAAATATATTAATAGCAACTGCTCTAACAAGCTTTTCCCATGGTGCTTGGACTATGGTCTCATCCTTTTTAGTGTTGAATTTGTTAAATGTAACTGCAATTTCTACTCCAACAGTTTCTTTTCTCGCACTTCTCGCCTGTGGGACTCCTTTCCGTTTCCTTGCTTCTCTAATAACTACAATTTAAATGCAACGTCAATTGCCATCTTCTGTCTTCTTGAACACCGTTCAGATTTTTATCCTTTCCTCGGTCTCCTCTACTTTTCTTTCTCTGTAACCCCCTGCGACCCAGTGGCATTCCTGACTTGCTTGGGGAGGGGGAAATGATTAAAAAAAAAAGAAATGACGAGGAAAAAAAGACAAGGCATAGCACAAAATATAGGCGATTGCACAAAGAAATTAGTAAGAAATTCAGGCAGGAAAAAAGAAAGTAAAGTCTACCGAAATAGAAAGAATGATTATTACAGATAAAGCTGTATAAAAGAATAAGAGAATAAAAATAAGACTATAAAAGAATAGAAGAATAAAAATAAGAGTAGAGAAGAATAAGAATAAGCGTATAAAAGAATACGATAATAAGAATAAGAGTATAAAAGAATAAGAATAAGAGTATAAAAGACTAAGGGAATAAGAATAAACGTATAAATAATAAGAGAATAAGAATAAGAGTATAAAAGAATAAGAATAAGCTTATAAAAGAATACAAGTAATAAGAGCATAAAATAATAAGAGAATAAGAATAAGCATATAAAAGAATAAGAGAATAAGAATAAGCATATAAAAGAATAAGAGAATAAGAGTATAAAAGAAAAAGAGAATTTAAGGACAAAATGCTCATCACCGGGATGCATAAAATCCGAGGATGGGACATTGATAACAGAGAAAGAAAAATACTCCAGACATGGAACGAATACATCGGAATACTTTTCCACGACGAAAGAGGACAACCCGCTATACATGGAAGTGTCGGAGGACTAGAAATATTAAAGTCTGAAATGAAATCAGCCAAGGGTCAAATGGAACAAGAACAAATCAGCTGGACAAGATGGAACTGTAATAGAGAAACTGGCAGCTTTAGAGGATTTCGCCATTGACTAAATTACAGCCATAATAAATGAAACATTCGACAGTGTTGATATGCCGGAAGACCTAAGTAGTTTTATTTTCTAGCGCTGCCTAAGAAACCAGGTGCAAACGAATGCAAACACCATTGAACAATCAGCCTAATGAGCTACATAAAAAAATCTTATTATCCAAATTTTGATGACTAGAGCGTTCAGCAGAATTAGACCCGAAATAGAAGAACAGGGCGTGTTCGTTAAAGACACTGAAACAAGGAATGTGATATTTATGCTCAGAATGATATTAGAACAGGCAATTAAAAATACAAAAGGAAGTAAACCTATATTTTATAGATTATGCAAAAGCGTTTAATAAAGTAGGTTAGAAAGAACTATTCGAAATGCTAGGTAAGCTTGATTTATCTGGGAAGGTTATCAGAATAATCCAGAACTTATATTAGGTGTAAACTGCTGGCATACAGATAGAAAATGAATTCAGTAAATGCCCCAAAATAGACAGGAACCTAAAACAAAGATGTGTCTTCTCATCAGAACTTTACAGTGAAGAAATTCTAAGAGAATGAAAATTCCTACCAAGATTCATTATTAGGGTCCACAATCTTAACAACATTGGATATACAGATGACACAATGTTAAAAGCAAACAAAGAAAAACTACAGGAACTCCTAGAAAAGGTAGAAGCGAGAAGAAAGGACTAAACGTCAAAAGGACTAAAGACAGAAGGAATGGTTGTTAGCAAAAGGGACATGCGAATTACAAATTGGAGACATCATAATCAAGCAAGAACAAACATTTAAATACCTAGGAAGTATTTAAACAGCTGAGGGAAAAATGCAACATCGAAATCTGAAGGAGCATTGGGATAGCGGAAGATGCCTTCCAAAAGATAAGCAAAGTATAATGAAACAGGAAAATTCCATTGGGAACTAAGAAAAGAGTGTTGAATTTTTACGCAACATCAATCCTCATCATATCGCAGTGAATGCTGAACAATCTGATCACAGATGAAGAAGATACTTTAGTCAACAGAAATGTGGTTCTACAGAAGGATGCTGAGCATACCATGGGAGGAACATATGAGCAACGACAAGGTTTTAGAGAAAATAGAAACAAAAAGGTGCACATACTTAGTATAAGAAAGAGACGGTTGAAATTTCTAGGGCGCATAATGAAAAAAGAGGGTTTAGAAAATTTGACACTCGTAGGACATATTGAAGGCAAGAAGTACAGAGGAAAACAGAGTATAACCCCTGCTTAATGAGCTTGCATAAATGATTGGGATAACAGAGTTTAAAAGAGATGGCTAAATAAACAACAATTACTAAGAGCTACAAAGAACAGGAAGTTGTAGAGAACCGCGATTGTCCACTTCCTGGAATGACACAGCGTATAGAAGAAGATTGGGGCAATGTCATGCTATTCTTTGTCTTCCTTACAATCACGAGACCTAAAGTGGGCGAATATAAATGTATTTTTATATCTCAGTACAATGTTGGATAATTGAATAAAAAAAATTCTACTTTATTGTTTTGGTTTTTTTTTTTTAAGATGTAATGTCGGCGCCGGGATTTTCTTCTTTTTCTATGTGCCATGTCTCTTCAGGGACATAGGCAATCATGGTTCTCCACAACTTCCATTAATAAAAAGCGTGACTTGCACGCAGTTGTTATAATAATAAAATAATTTCAAATCAAACTTACCTTTTCACAATGTGAGGTGTCCATTCTTCCCCACTGGGCTTGATTGAGGGTCGTGTTAAAGATACACGGTCGTGAAGCATTTTCTCCGGCACTTTTTGCATATTTACATGGTATTATAGCCGTGCGGCCATAAAATGTTGCTGGCCAGACATATCTTCCCGTATCATCTTTCTGGATGTCTTCATTGCAAGAAGCTGATAAGAAAAATGAATTATACAATATGGCGGCGTAGAAAAAAATGACAATGAAACTAAATGAAACAGCAAAAGTTTTTAATCTTGCGAACGACGCTTAGAAATGCTAATATTATCAGAACAAAAGACAGGAATAAAATAATAAACATCCCTCAAGTAAATGGAAATATATGTGGGATTATTTATAGTCTAATTATTTAATTGGATTGTTTAATTAACCCTTTGTGCCCTGACCACTGCATTAACGGTGGTAGAGAAAAATGACGTAATGCCCTGCCACCGGATGAACAGTGGTAGAGAAAAATGACTTAATGTCCAGCCACCGGTTGAACGGCGGGTAAACACCTGTAACTACGAATTTTGACTCAGGAGCTCAGGCAGAAGGGTTAAAATTGTTCAGGAATTGTTAATCTTTTATAAAACATCGAATTTGCGATCATAATATTGAACTATTAAACTAATGCATCTTTTATAGAAATCCTAGAAATGTCTTCGAAATGTCTTCTACTTAGTCCTTCATTGCTTCTGCAATTAGCAAACGATAGTAAATTGTTTAAAACTTTTGAGTTCCAAATGAATTTGTAGTAATGAATTTCTGTCAGCGCTTAAACACTTGTCATTTTCTCCTTGCATGATACAAAAAATATCTTTTAAATAAAATAGTTGCTAGCGATGAAAAAGGGATTCATTACGAGAATCCAAAACGAAACAAAACATGTCTCTATACAGAACAAACTTCAGCATCTCAAACTAAAATGAATCTACCGGGGGAAGTTAGTCCTTGTCAATGTTTCTTACGAGAATGCAGTTTTACGAAATACAAATAAAAAGGTGTCTCTATCATGAACAGCCTTATCATCACAAGCTGAACTAAATCTCATGGATAGAATGGCTATTCTTAGTGTTTAATGGGATACAAAGTAAATTCTTTATTATGATAATCCAGAACCAAGAAATCCACGCCTCTATTCAAAACATTCTTCAACTTCTCAAACTGAACTGAATTTATCGATAACATTGAAAGGGTCTTGTCTTCATTGCAAATTGACGCAACCTAAACAAATGTAAAGACCATAACTCGTTTGAATATTGTTTATATTTTTCCCTTTACCCACTTGTGATTGAAAATATAATAATACAAAATAATACAAATATATAAATATATATAATATATAAATATATAAAAACATATATAATAATACAAAGTAAGAAAAATGCTTAAAAAATGTGTTTTAACAATATTAAAGGAAATAATAAAATTTGTGATTTACACACACACGCAATAAAGAAAAAAGAAAAAGATTTTTTAAAAAAATAATGCCTAAAAAAATCTTGATTTAAAAAAATAAAAGTAAAAAGTATAAAAAAGCGAAAAATGCAGAAAATTATAAATTATGCATTTTGTTTATATACATTGCTCCCCCCATAATGGGGTGGGGGGATTAACAGGGTGTGACAAGTGCTCTCATTCACCCGTTTGAGGTGTTGTTAGTTCCAATCTAGAGGAATGATTGCTAAGAACACCTTCACCCCATACAATTCCTGCAGGTGCATTCTGGGACTTCCTGACACAAATGGACAATTCTCGGTTTAACCGCAGTTCTTTCTTGCCTTAAAATCAGGAAGCTAAAACCATTAAACTCTATCTTCCTTTTGCATGTAAACATAATTCTTACTTTGAGCCTGTCTCGCTTGATCAATTACTACTGAGTAGTGAGGTCGATCCTTACTGAGTGCTCCACATTTTCGGCCTTGTGTCCCACCGAAGCGACGCTTAGAAAATCATGAATATGTACCAACATGGTAATTATTTTTCTCTTCGTTTAATAAGGAGATACTAAGAAGCTCGCTTTCTGACCATAAGACCCGGGTTCGAATCTCACCACGGTTGATTTGTCAGGAAGTAGACTTCCTGATATTATTGAACTTGAGGGGTCATACCCAGCGTGCAGCACCTTTGGAAAGTGTCCGAAAACCATACCACGAGTTGACTCAAGCCTTGTGAGTGAAATTGGGTAGACGAAACCCTTGGGGGCTGTCCATAGCTGTGTTAGCACGAAGTCACATGTCATCGTGACCGAGGGATTGAGTGTGCTGGCCTTGTTCAAATTGTTGATCACGCTAGATAACACGCTCTTTCCAAGAAACTGCAACTAAGGTCTGCTTGGCATAATTGTAGAATAAACCACAGGTGGCCTCTGAGGGTGTTGAATAAACACAAATATGCCTGAGCGAGAGTCTGCAATAGGGATTGGCTAGTCGTTCTAGTAAACGGGCATCCTCGAATACGAGTGGCCAGCTATACATTCTTCCTTTAATAAGGAAATACTAAGATATATTCTACCTTTAATAAGCATATACTAAGAAGCTTGTCCGTGAATATATATATATATATATATATATATATATATATATATTCACGGACATAAACACACATATATATATATTTATGGACAATTTTCTTAGTATCTTCTTATTGAAGGAAGAGAGAAATAATTACCACGTTGATACATATTTATTTATTCCGAGTACTTTCGACATTAGCACATTATGCTAATGTCGGAAGTATCGGAAAAAAATATGTATCAATGTGGTAATTTTTTCTTCCTTCAATAAGAAGATACTAAGAAAATTGTCTGTGAAAATGAGAGGATCCTATTGAAAATAAGTAGACAAAACGTGACTAAATTATTACATAAAATAAGAAAATCTTTCACAGAAAATTCCTCGGACATTCAGGCCGGTAGATCTTGTTTAATACTGTTTATTATAAACAGGGCATTTACTTAAATATTTGTATCTATAAAAAGAATGTATAAGCATAAAATGTCTTAAAATACACACACACACACACACACACACACACACACACACACACACACACACACACATATATATCCTTAGTATTATTTTGCATTGTTTTTTTCTTCCTCTTATTGTTTATTGGGAAGTGTTGACAACGTCCGACCCTGTGTTTTAAATGTTCTTTAATAAATGTTGCAGCTGAACTGAGAAGTTTATTTCACCTCCAGGCTTGTTTGATTTGTCTGGTCAGTGATTCCAACTGACATTGTGTAGGGAGCGTCCTATGGTTTATCACATATCAATCTTTACTTTTATAGACTTTGAGAAATTCGTGGTGCCACAGATGAAAGTTCCAGAAAGAAAGTATTCATTAATATAGAAGATATGACAGTTCTCGGACATTTGGCCGACGGACATTTGGCCAACGGACATTTGACCAACGGACATTTAGCCGACGGACATTTGACCGACGGACATTTAGCCGACGGACATTTGACCGACGGACATTTGGCCGACGGACATTTGACCGACGGACATTTAGCCGACGGACATTTGACCGACGGACATTTAGCCGACGGACATTTAGCCGAATGGTCATTTAACTGAAAATGTAGCAGCGTACTTACATCGTAATGTGCTACATATATTTATATGGTATTAATTTATATCTTTCGTTTTTTTTTTACTGGCTTTTTTTCCAAATCTATTTTGTATATATTATATTTTACTTCAAATAGTATTATTTTGTAAGATAAGTATTTTGAGAAAAAGTATATTTTACTGCAGCAAAAATCTTAAGCTTTTACAATATGAAAGATCATCCAATTTCGCTTTTAATGATCATTATCTTAAAGGGATGAACTAGCTTTTATTTTACTGTTAAATACGAATTTAAATAATTAGGTGCTACTTATTACCCAAATACACTCAAATATTTTTAAAAATACTAATTTCAGTAAACAAATCTTGAAATAAGAAAACTTTTAACGTTAAATTTAGATTTAGTAATTTAATCTCTTGAAATTCAGTAGTAATTATTAGTCCTATTCTACCTTATAATACTGCTAATTAAAATACTTAAAGTATTGCTTGTTACAATTTTTACTTGTACTTTTTCGGTGAAATATCTGTCGACCAAGTGTCTGTCGGCCAAATGCCCGGCCACGGGGTATGACAACGTTTCAAATTTTAAACAGAAGTGTAAATACCTCAGCTAGATCGAAAAAAAAAGAAAAGAAAAAAAAAGAGTTTCATATTGTAGCAGTAGCTATGTTTTATTTACTGTAAGGTTGGGGTCATCTTTGATAGCCATCTTTGAAAACACAGAACTATATGACATGCGGACGAACACACAGATACACGTTCAGGATCTCAGCATATAAATACTTCTACGTTTTTCTGGTCTATGATTGGTGGATTATATAATGACGTTTCAAGTACTGTTTCATTGCTGCCAGAACTATGCGAATAAACCTGCAGAAAAATATGCGCATTTATCTCTCGATAATTTCTCGGCTTGATCCTCTTCCAAAAATAAACCCAAACAAAACAAAAGTGCTACCCACACCGGTGGTAGTGGTGAAGATTTACAAAAGAAGTGATATCAGAGAAATGGTACACACAATGCCACAGGATTTCCAAACAGACTTCTTCATAAATGAATTCAGTTTTCCTTATCCTGGGCTGGCTAACACCAAAGTCAGTGTGTACAGTCTGCCCCGCTATTTAACCCATAGCTAGCAGGAGATAGATTAGAATTGACCGGAATTTGAACTCAGCTCAGCGATTCCATTTTCGGCACCGTTTCACTATCAGAAAAGACATATCTTGGTCTGTCTGCCTCTTCCTCTTTTCTCTCTCTCTCTCTCTATATATATATATATATATATATATATATATATGAGAGAGAGAGAGAGAAATTTGAGAAGACTAAATATATATATATATATATATATATATATATATATATATATATATAGGATTAATAGAAACATAAAATTTGTGACTTGGCTGATTTAGCACCTTCATAAAATGTTATATTCATATTGATGTTATATATATATATATATATATATATATATATATATATATAATAATGTCAATGTCGGCGTGTCACATTTTTTCAATTAAAGGGACACAACTTTCAATAGCTTATCTTCTTCATATATATATTAAATGCCAACGTTAGTGCGTCA